CTTTTATTTATAACCATATTCGCAAAACAACAAACATATCGCGTGAAATTTGATGTCAAGAAAACTCAATTTCTGCATTGCGCTTATATAAAACAAGCTTAAATAGCTGCCGGAAACGGCAATCCACCATTTCCAAAAAAAGCATTCAGTGAAAAAATTCTGTTTTCGACGACTTTATTTTCATAACTGTACAAGCGTGCATATGAATTACAGCAGACAATAACAATCAGTTTTCTTGTGTGTGTGTGTGTGTGTTAAAGTTTGACAGTGAGTGGAAGCACTAAAGCGCGATAATATTGGTGTATAGGATTGAGTCACCATTGATCAGATATATGAATAACTAAATAAATAAATAGAGGTCAACCTGAAGTTCAATAGACAAGTGTGAAATAGATGATCGAAAAATAAAGTACATTCGGAAATGTGAATATAATATGATGGAAACAGGATGAGTGAAATGTTGTTAAAGCAGTAGACTAGATAAAATGTTAGAATATGATAACATGAAGTAAATGGAACACGAAACAAAGAAGGATAACAAAGTTGTTATGCGAATTACATAGTAAAATCAAGACCATGGTAACTAAAGAGATCGTACAAATTGTTTTTGTGCACACAGTTCTGGCCTTATGCTATGTATTGCCAAAGCCTCTGCTTTACAAAGCAAATGCACTCGTGTCCGTTTCGGCAAACTTTGTCGGACTTTGTAGATTATATTAAACTGTGTCAGATGCTGCATCATGGTCAGTATCTACAATATGTTGCAATATGGATGAATTCATATCTCTACGTCCTCCTTTGCTCAGCCAAACCGAGAGGTGCTCTCTCTCGCGGCGGGATATTTTTCTCGACGTACGTCCTTCGTGCCTAGCTCCGCAAGAGCAGGTGAATGCACAAAAACACATGGAATTAAACAATCGGGGTAACATTTCCTTGGCATTAAGGTGGACGGTTAGAGTAGGCTATTTGTAAAGTGGCAACAAAGAACGGTTTTCTCAGTGATCTGGTCAGACGATTTTTAAGTACTTCACTCGCATTGTCACCCCTAAATACTAAGTTTGGGTGCAACACTTTTTTTAGCTACCTTATCAATCTCTGTATTCCTTCCACATACTTTGCTATTGGCCTCTACGAAGCGTAGTGGATACCCGTTCTCTGTGAAGGTTTTTTTCAGTTGTTTGAGTTTATCATCAACACTATCTTCACCACAAATTCTCCGCACCGGTGTTGAGAGAGAACGGATTAGATTCCTTTTTCTCTCTATAGGGACAAAACTGTAAAAATTGGTCAGTTGTCCTGTCCACGTCGATTGTCTGCAAACAGATCTTTTCAAAGACCCGTCAGCTCTCCTTGTGAGTAGCACATCAAGGGAAGATATTTTTCCTTCGGTTTCTTTTTCTAAGTAGAACTGTCATTGAATACTTTCAGGATGTCATTCAATTTGCAGTTCTCGTTGCATATAATGAACGTGTCATCCACGTATCTTTAGTAGAAGGTAAGCCCCTTTATGGCACTTGTGAGAGTACTGCTATCCATACTGACCAAGTGGCGAGCCCATGGCTACTCTATCTATCTGTCTATAGATTTCATTGTTGAAAAGAAATCGGACGTTGAGAGTATATCGAAGTATTAGCTCTTTCAGGTATGATGTGGGAATTCCTACGTTTACATTGTGTAAGTCTATGTAATCACAAAAGTTTGGAAAGAGAAGGTGCCTACTGATTGAAAGAAGGGCTACCTCGTCAAACTACCAAAGAAGGGCGACTTAGACCTGTGCAAGAACTGACTAGCGTGGACTAATGCTCATGTCCACGCCAAGTAAAAATACCAAGTCACATCATCCTGGAGAGAATAAACGATGCGCTGCTTACAGAACTATGTCTGCCGAAGCATGCGCGATTCAGGAAAGGCAAATCATGTGCTGATCAAATTGCAACTCTACGCATCGTCATCGATTAAAGCATAGAATTGCAGTCAAATCTCTACCTCAACTTCCTTCATCGACTTTGAATAGGCCTTCAACAGACAGCGTTGACCGAGAAGTAATTCGGAAACTACTTCAACACTATGCCACGAAGAGCCCCAAATCTTTACCAACCTCATTCAACAGCTATATGACAATGCCACGTGTCTAGTGATCCACAACGTAAAGCTCAGCGAGGCGTTCGAAATGAATGCAAGAGTAAGACAGGGCTGCCTATTACCACCAATGTTATTACTGATTGTGGTGGACTGGATTATGCGTCAGACTGTGCGTCGGGAGTGAGAACTCAGAATACACTGGACCGATAAGAAGACTAGAAGATCTGGATTTTACGGATGGATGATTTATGTTTGATGTCACACAATCTCGAAGACTTGCAAGCGAAAAACCACAAACTGGTTGAAGAGGCTGGTAGTGAAGACAGGACTCTGGGTGAACATAGAGAAGACGGAGGTGATGAAGATAACCAACCAATGGCAACAACAACCCGCGCCAATCACCATCAATGGTAGAGATTTGACAGAGGTGACTTCCTTCACTTATCTACGAAGATGTCAAAGTCAGAATCGGAAAGGCAACATACGTCTTCATCAACTTGAGACCAATTTGGAAATCTCCTGCTCTCCTCAGGATAAAAAACAAAACTCGGATTTTCGGCACAAATGTGAGAATCAGTCAGTTCTATGCGGGTCAGAAACTTGCACTGTGTGTCACGAAAAGGATTTCCAACAGATTGTGGCAGACGTTTACCAACAGCAGCCTTCGCTGACTCCATACTGAAGATCAAAAGGCCAACTAGGAAGAATAAGTAACAGGAAACCCTGTTGGAAGCGAATCAAGAAAGAGCCGACTGTTCGACGAATGTGCATAGGAAAATGGAGCTGGATTGAGCACATGCTGGGGAAGTCGCCGAATGACATCGCCCACCAGACCCTCGAGTGGAGATCGAATGGGAACCAACGAATACGTCGTCGATGCGGAGGTGACATGGAAGAGATCGTGTGAGGAAGAGATGAGAGAGTTCGGTGACTCGTGGACCCAGCTGTAGGGGACAGTGGGAATTAGAGCAACGTTGAGATGTGTTGTTGAAGCCCTGTGTTCCACTCAGAACGCAAGGGAATTATATATATATATATATATATATAGCTGTGGAAATGGAATCGTCGAAAAGAGAATTTTCTTCGCTTCTGTCTCACTGGGAATTATTAATTTTATTGCCAAACGAAAAATGTGAGGAAGTTAAAGAAACAGGGAATATAACTGATCTTTGAGACGAATTGTACTTACTGCTTTGCAAAATGACACTATAACCACACCACAAAATACTTGAGAATAGAATCTCGAAGCCTTCTTCAGAGGATCTAATGATGACTGACTATTTTGATTATCCACTTAATGCTGGAAGTCTAGAATCTGCGCTTATAGAGTGTTGGGGAAAAGAAGCAGTCACGCTCTTTCTACACTTCAGGAAGCGGAGTGGGTGTCAGCTCTACACTAACTGGGGTGAGATTCCTAAATGGATGTCCGTGGGACGGGGCGTAATTCACTAACCGCTTGTAGGCCCAGAAATGTTGGAAGATTGGTTATTAGGCTTCCCCGAAATCATCTTCTTGTTTTTTATTGTCAGATATTTGACTTCTAGATTTTTGTATAGTTATCAGCTCCTTAGCGTGTCAACTGAATCGTTGCGAAAACAGCAAAGTACGTAAAATCCTAACTTAGGCCCTGATTTATCTTTATCTTTCCCATTATAGATACCCAGTCTTACGTACTCAACTTCCACGGTCGCGTCACACAAGCGTCAGTGAAGAACTTCCAAATTGTTCATGAGAGTGATGGCAAGTTTTCAAGTTGTAGTTTCTGTAAAATATTGTGTTACACATTGCAGCGTACTCGCTAGGCACGTATGAGATCCAGGGTTCGACTTCCACCCGCGCACTCCTAAACCTCACTTAGCCCGGTAAAGAGGGGAGGTTGGATGTAAGTCCAGTAACCCCACCCCGTAAAGGACTTGACACCATAACTTATTCAAAGCTCAAGCTTGAAGCCCTGGGTTTCACTCCAAACGCAGAAGGGATAAGAAATCATACTGTAGTGTTCGACAATGTACGCAGGATTTGATGATGAAAGGGGTTTTGTGTTTCAGTCATGTTGGATGGAGATCATTACTAGTGATGATATCAAAAGTTAAGATTCTTTTCCGAACTAATAGGTTAGAAGAGCCAAAAATAAAACTGTCCCATAATCGGTCTACACTTCAATAAATAGACGGAAACAACCAATCCTGTTTTTTAGGAACACGGTTATTGAGTTACGAAACATCAGTATCCATTATTCGCTTCAAGATATAGCACTCGCCAGCTTAGATTCGCTCCCAGAAGCAGGTCGGCGTTCTTAAATCTCAACAACGTGTGAATGCACAAGGGTTTTCACCATAGAATGGTCAGAATTCCAGTTTAGATAGTTTTGCGACACTGGTTGCCTAATGACCTAGTTACTACAAGTCCATAAAGATATTAAATGTTCCGCTTTTAATTCCTTTTTTAGATGAATATATTCTTATGCAATTCGGACGTGTGGCTGAAGACACTTTCACGATGGACTACATGTATCCAATGTGTGCTCTACAGGCGTTCGGAATAGCTTTGTCTTCGTTCGACAGCAAATTAGCATGTGAATAACAACTGACAGCTGATTAATTAATTCATGGTCTAACTGAATTACGCCTAATAAAGTTTGCAGCCAAAGAATGCATTTATCCAACTTCCAGTTACTGAATGTACATCTTATTGATTTCAATCATTTATTACACTTAAACCTGTAAACATGAAGAAAAAAGCTGTTACAAAAGAAGTCTACTAATTGTTTATTTTTATCAAACTTTCTTAATGCATAATGTGCACAATCTGTTCACTAACTGTTAAAAAAACTGTTACTTTCACGTATTATCGTGCTGTGGAGTTGCCAAGACGTGATTTGACATTTGAAAATAGCAGTCGTGCAAATTTGCAAACCACTAATCCTGAAAAACGAAATATGTACATTAATGAATCGACTTAATATGGTAAAATATTTCAACATTTGTTTATAATCTTGTCATTAATATTCCAATTAAAACAATGTTATTAATAATGAGTGTAAAACCAATTAACAGTAACAGACAAACTAGTGATACGAATAAATATGGATCTTATTTTTGAACTGTGCAAAAGACCAATACTTGTCAGCTGGATATTTTATTGCCATTTTGTTCACCGTCATTATAAATGTGAAACAGTCCACTTGACAAAATAAATCACCTAACAAGTGGTCTAACAGGAATTCATCTGCGTTGGTTGTAATTAAGTATGCCAACCTCCTTGGGAAGAAATACTAACTGCAGTCAGGATATGCTATATAAAAACTTGTAATACTGTAAGTGTGAATAAAGTGCATTCCCTTCCAAAAAGGTTTCCTATTTTCAGATAAAGTTGTATCAGAAATACTTATCAGAATAGTAATATTAAAAATAATAATAATGATAAGGTCACAATTACCAATCTTTGTATCAGCCTACCTAAATGTTACATTGTAATGCTCTTATAAAACAAATTTCGCTTTAGTATCACGCATCTATAGCATAAATTCGCACTAGAGGTATTTAAACAATCTTTCAGATCGAAACAGTACATATCTAACCTCCTTCAGCTTGAAGGTGATAAGTTTACAACAGAAACACACAAAATTGCGAAGTTTTAAAACATTTCAGCTGCCGTCTACAGCGGCAGAGGCTGGACATGTGTAACACAGATTTGTTTTCAGTTCTACTAACTAGTGTCCAAGTGGACTGATACAAGATCTTTCAATGCAGAACGAAATAGTTCGTTGTACCGTACCGCTTGGTTTGTGGAGCTAGAATCTGTCAACAAGGTATCACAGCGTACGGTATAAACACCACGAACTTTCATCATCACGACAGATAGTTGACTCCCTACCTAACTACACATTTCTATGATAAGGCGCGTAGTCACTCTTTTTCAAATCACACTTCAGGCAGTGTGGAATCAGCTGTGACCCTCTCAACAGCAATTCGAGTTAACAACTAGTGCTAACACAGGTTCGAAGCCCACTCCGCTTCCTGAAGTGTAGAAAGAGCGTGACTACTTCTTTTTCCCAACACTCTATAAGCGCAGATTCTAGACTTCCAGCATTAAGTGGATAATCAAAATAGTCAGTCATCATTAGATCCTCTGAAGAAGGCTTCGAGATTCTATTCTCAAGTATTTTGTGATGTATTTATAGTGTCATTTTGTTTAGCAATACTTACAAACGAAATTTTCGAATGTGTTTGGGAGTTAAACAAGCGAACTTAATTGTTCTGGGGACAGTTGTTGGGCAATTGTCAACTGTACAATAAGTGCAGTAGGATCGGGAATGCAATGAGTAGCTACCTTCGGACTCAAATAATATTGAGGTAGTGAGGAGTCAAGGAACTGACCGACCGTGATTAATGTGAGTTAGGCGTTTTTGCATTGTGTAGTCTCCCGAAATGTAATTATATATCAATGGGACAAACAATGCCAGGTTGTTTTTGTTTACGTAATATTCTGAACAAAATGAATGCCCGTGACAATGCTAAGTTATGGAAGTGTTTTCTTAAATTCACACAATTTGTGATCTGAAATATGGGGCAATTTGTGTTCGTTCATTTTTGTGTGCTCAGAAAAGTATTACAAGTTGTTAGTTGTGCAGATCACGGGCAGTTATTTCATTCAAAATATTGCCATAACAAAAGTTATCAGTGTGTAAACCGTTGAACTGAGTACAATTTGAACTATATGTGACAACTTGACGAGGCATACTTCCACGATGGTAGTTCAGTGGTTTAATGCACGCCTTTCGGTACACAAGCAGTGTAGGTTCACTTCTCCGGTTTAACTTTTGACAAACAGGAAAAGCCATTTTCAAATATGACACTAAATAAATGTTACCTCTAGTTTAGTAGCATATTTAGGGGACTCATTATATTATTTGGTGTACCATGTTAAGTCCAATTTGAGAGGAAACTCACACTAAATCGTTTCTTGATTTCTGTCATTTTTTTACTTTCAATATGCCACAGGTTCGTGGCGGCAGAGAAGGCAGAATTAGGGAAGCACAATACGATTGCTACAGAGCCACTTATCGATGCATAGGACATCTTCTTTAGGATACCCCCTGAGAGAAACAGATATGACATTATGCAATTTACCTTTGTAACCTAGTATCCACCCTCCCAACCCGCAGGTAGCGATAAAACAATATCGAGTTAGCAACACTGGCTCGTCTCGAAGCATATTGGCAATCGCTAATTTTAGGCTTTTCCTTTAAATTAACTTACATGTACTGGCTTTGGACGCTGAGTACTGATATTTTACGACGCATTCCTGTTTGGTCAAATTTTTAAATCTAGAAATGGAAACCGACCTGTGCCTTGGTACACATATCTTGCAGTGATACTCTTATGGGCCGAATATAGGTCACAAATATCCTCTCTAAAGGGTTTGGCTTCTTTTGCTCCAACGCATAAGTTGCTTCACCTAGGATTTCGGTGTAAATAGGCAACTGGACATAATCTTTATAGTAAATTCCGCGTCACCTGTTGCGTTCTCATTGCGTTCGGCGCTTTGTTTACTGTCCCGCCGAGTAGCAATGACCCCAATGAACACTGAACACTTTATCAAATCGTTCGAATTCCCATTCTTTACACCTTTTTAGTTATAAGTGATACTGATTACCCTGTTTACATAATAAGTTCAGCCACTAACAAATAAATGTAGATAGAAGACCCATACATTGTTACTAAACTTCTTGATGTCAGGTTGTATTCTGGAAAACGTATGCTTCGCCTTCTCTTTTCCCCTGTGCCTGTAACTGGAAAACATCATTTACAATTGTCTCATTGAGGCGAAACCCAATACAATTGTTTCTGCAGTAGTCAATGTGGAATCTGCTAAGAATTTGACCTACTTGACTTTTATAAATGTTGACCGATGTATAAAAATTGACTTTAGGCAGCCAACGTTTCAAACACCAGTGGTCGAATCCTTGAGCGAGTTGATGAAATAAATTGCAATTGGACTGACAATAAGCCATTTGGAACGATAATAAGAGACTGCTTTATTAAGGGACTGTTTCAATCACTGCAAAAACTAATTATCTATTCATAAAAATGAGACTTGTTCAATAGATGTAGTTTCATTAAGTATCCTTGAATCGTCATCTGTACACACCTAGTTTCAAACAGGTTCGACCCACCATATTCTCATTTTACCACACCCGACAGCCATGTCACCAATCATTTTTTGTCAAAGTTTGTCTCCTTACCCTCAAATTTGTTCTCTTCAGACAACCAGGATATCTGAACTTCCGTATGCCTATCTCCATGCTCTCGTGAACTGAACGATCAACTACTGCGCCACCGACGCACAGTCGTCAACACCCTCTTCTTTTTGCAGAACCTCAACGAAAACATTGAAGGCTTTATGCACTGAGTACTCAATGTACCAGTCAGTCTGTTGTCTAATTTTCATTTAACTTCAGCAGGAACACACTATCATCTCCTTCATTTCGACTCAGCCCTTGCCACTGATCAAAGGTCATTTACTCTTTTCCTTATAAACGTTCGTTCTATCTGCAATAAAATTCCGTGCCTTCACTCCTTGCTTTCACTTTGTAAGCTAGCAGTATCGTTACCATCTGACGTTAATGACAGACTGTTTAAGTCTCCAGGATATACACATTTTAGACATGACAGAGAAGAAGGACGGAGAGGTGGTTGTATTAATTTTGTTAGTAACAGATTCTACGCTGTAGGAGTTGATGATCTGGGTTGCCCACTGACAGATGCAGTATGAATTACGCTGATCACTAATTTAAATACAAGGCTTTTATTAGGATGTATGCACCACCCGCCCGATTCTGATACTAGCACAACGAACCATTTATGCGAAATTTCTTAACACATCTCTTCTCTAAATTTTGACTACAAAATTATGGCTGGCGACTTTAACACGCTTGATATCCACCAGAATAGCCTAAATGTTCCTATATACCCTGATGGTTTTATAAATACGATCGAGTTCTATGGATGGACAAAACATGTTAATTACCCTATATGTAAATCCAATTTCCTGGATTTTACCCTTACACACAGCATTCTTCCCATCAGCACTCGACTTGGGCCTTTATTTCCTGGCAGCAACCACAACACGTCATTTCTACCATTAACCTGCCAGCAAGTGGGTCAGCTAAAAGCTGTCACCGAACAGAAAATGTCAGAGACTTTTCAAAGGCTAAGTAAGAAACAACACTGTCTTTTATTCGTTGCCAATACTAGGATGGCTTTTTCTCCTCGGCAAATACTGATACTGTCCTTGTCAGTTTCTACTCCGACATATCAGATTGCTTCCACGAATCAATCTCTTGGTATTTATCGAAACGTAAATGTGTAACTCAACTATATATACCGAATGCCACCAGGAACAAACTAAGAAGAGTCTGTAAAACTTGTAATAAATCTATGGACTTCTCCTAGCTCATTAGCATCCTAAAATTATATGATAAAATCAGATCAGACAAAGCCAGTAAGACTTGCAAAGAAGAATTAAATGCCCTTAAAATAACTGCAAAATTAGTTCTCATGAAGACTCTTCCAAAAGAGACTGCAACAAAAACAAGGTAACGTTCCTTCCATTCTTCATAATAATGATGCTAATAATGACGATGAAGGCATAGCCGAACTCTTTAACAAGCACTTTTCTGATTCATACACGCACGATGTTTCTGCATGCATCGACTCTGACTCTGTAACAGGCAAAACAGTTTCAAGTACATGCTTGACTGTTGATGTTATAAAAAGTGCAATCAGTTTATTGAAACTCTCTGATACTCCTGGACCTGACTTAATCCCCTAATCTTTCCTAAAAGGTGACGGCCCCAATCTCCCTCTTTATTAATGGAGTTCATTCTTCCGAATGGAAGCAGGCATACAGTGACTGGAAACCTCACAACACCTCAGCACGGTTTTATAAAGTCCAGGTCATGCATGACTTGCCACCTGGAACTATTTGATTTTGTAACTGGACTTACAGACGAAAAATTCATTGTAGTCACTGATCTTAAGAAGGTATTGGATAAAGTATGTCATAGTTTGCTCCTGGAAAAACTAGAGCCTCACAGTATATCTGGCAATTTCTTACAGTGGTGTATTTCATTTATATGTGGTCGGTCCCAATATGTTAAGATTAACGATACATTTTCTAGTACCACCCCTATATCAAGTGGTGTAATTCAAGGTAGTGTACTAGGGTCTCTCTTCCTTCTTGTATACATAAATGATGTATGTGACGTTATAAAGCATGGCAGACCCTTCCTATATGCCGATAACTTAAAGGTGGTTTACCACAGTGCCACTCGGTATGTTACAAGTCTGTTTCATAAAATGAAATCGAACTGTTATAACAGTGAGGCATGGTGCAAGTCATAGATGATGCAGATCAACGTGGGGGAGTGTGGTCTGTTATACTTAACTCGCCTTCGTATCGCGCCATGCATAACGATATATGGCAAGCCAATCACTGCTTTTCCTTCTGTACTTGACCTCGGACTCCGTTACTCTGTTGATTTTAAATTCTTTCACTATGTTACCAGCCAACTTTCAAAAGCCGAAAGATTACTTGGATTTATAGGTCATAACTTTCAAACCCAAGAATCTAAACGCTGCTGTATAAAACGCACATACGGCTTCTGCTTGACTACTGTCCATTTATCCTAGACAGCACCTCTGTTAATGACAAACTTAAGATTGAAAGTGTCTTTGGTTAACCATAACTATTTGATATGAGAGTTAATAGTTATAGGTATGGAGGTAGTAGAGTACTTGTGCAAGGATTACAACAAGATAAATTTTATGTAACGAATCACGCAAAAATGTAAAGCAAACGTTGGACGTGCCGCGAGATTTACAAGCAGAACATTAGGTTCAAGTCTAAACATTCCTTACAATTATCGCTGCAAAACTCTCAAGATCCAACCCCTTTTGTTCAGACGTCAATGACTTGACCTCACTCTGCTATTTAAAATTTTCAGAGAAACAGTATAATTTCCTAACAACAATCTCTACTTCCTCAACGCATTAATTGCGCAGCCGTAGGTCTCCTCTAAGTCATTTGCTTCGTCGAACGAGGTCTCGTTACAACTTCTTCACAGTTAAAAAAGGAAAATATGGAACTTCTTATTTCAGAAAGTTGACTACAAACTTCTGATTTCCTCACATTTTTATTATACACGTGTATTTCTAAAATGCCGTATCAGACATGACATACAAGATAGCTTACATAAAGCAGTCGTTCACACCATGAATTTTGTTGAGTTAGCTAGTCATTAAAAAAGCAGTATTTTGACACATAACGATAAAAATTTTAAAAAAGCAGCATCTCGTCAGCACCTAGGAGATAAGAGGTGGGATGTTGGTGACTGCTATTCGGTGTATATGATGGTGGGGACTTCAGAGAACCATCCTTAGCTGTTGGAAGGCGCTTGATTGCTAAGGCTCCTGAGTTTGAATAACTTCAGCAAAGAGAAAGATAAACACTGCCTGAGCGCTACAATTTGTGCAAAACTCTTTCAATACAGGCGCAGGGTATTTTTTTAATATATAAATATGGTGGCCCTGACATTCCCCTAATACTGCTTAAAATATTCACAATGTTTCTAGAAACTCAAACTTACCCTGATATTTGGAAAACATTTGTTATCCCTAAGCACAAATCTGGCTCGAGAACAGAAGTCAGCAACTACAGGCCGATCAATATCACACCTATCGCATCTAGAATTATGGAGAGACTAGTTAAAGATAACTTAATCAAGCATATGCTTAGCTGCAACATTATAAGTCCGAACCAACATGAATTCCTAAAATCCAGATCTTGTTTAACATGCCACCTAGACTTCTTTAATTTTGTGACCAGCAGTCGTGACAGACGGCAACTAGTACTTGTCATCTTTTTTGACATCTCTAAGGCATTTGACCGCGCCGGCCATTTACTGCTAATACATAAGCTGAACTCCTTAGGAATACGTGACCCATTATTAGGATGGCTTAAATCATTCCTTAGCAATAGGTCCCAAATAGTTAAACTCGGGTCTGTAACTTCGAAACCTAGCCCAATCACTTCTAGTGTAGTACAAGGTAATGTCATTGGGCCCCTCCTATTTACACTATATATCAATGACATATGCGCTTGCCTCTCACATAAAAACCATTCATCTTTGCAGATGACCTAAAAGGAGCTTATACATTCGAAGGTGATGACCTAGGGTACTTTGGGAATGTTGTGCAGAAAGGATTAGATAAAGTGACTGCTTGGTCGTGTTTATGGAATCTACAGTCTAACCTGAACAAATGCGGCTGGATCTGCTTCGGCACACCCTAAATTGACTTG